AGTATAGAATATAATTACAGTTGGCCCTCCATATCCATGGATTCTGCATCCATGGATTCAGCCAACTGCCATTCTAAAACATTCAGGAAAACATTCCAGAAAGTTCCATAAAGCAAAACTAGAATTTGCTGCAGGTTGGCAACTATTTACATAGAATTTACATTGTATTAGTTATTACAAGTAATCTTGAGATGATTTAAGGTGTACGGGAGGATATGCATAGCTTATATGCAAACATGAGACCATTTTATACGAGACTTGAACATCCTTGGATTTTGGTAACTGTTGGGGGAGGGAGGCAGTCCTGGACCCAATCCCCTGTGAATACTGAGGAATGACTGTATATATAATTAGAACAATCTATAATTAGCATTATAGGTATATATGTATAATTAGTATTAGATATACATCTAGAATTAATAATGTCTAGTACATAATATTCCATTTGTAATATATAATTAGTATAATAATAAAATAATATGGTTATTATATGTGCATATATATGTGCACAAATAATTAACATAATACATGAGTAATATATGTGATTTATCATAATTTATATTATTTATGAATAATGGTCAGTGGTAAACACAAGTTCAGGGCACATGCATTCTCAGGACTCCTACCCGCTCTTTTAGCTCTATTAATTCACTCACACAGTGAGAAGCCCTTGCAAGATCCTCAGTGATTTTCTAGAGTACATAATGCTCAGGATTCTGTATTTAAGCAGAAAAGCACTCTCCCTCTCATTTACAGAAAACTGGTATCCTCCCTCCTCCAACTGAATGAGAGATCAGCACCTCGTTTACCCTCGCTTCTCCCACATGCCTGGCAAATAGCACGGACTCAATAAACATTTGTGGAAGACAGAGCGAATTTTCAGTGAAAAGGATTCTGCAGTTTACCTGCAGGTCCCAGAACGTAAGATGAACAAGACAGTTGGTCTCCCAGCAACAGCAGTAAATGGAGATTTGCACGCACTTGTTTTCAATTGATTTTTCCCTTCCCTTTTTAGAATGTAAGAACTCCACAGCGAGCCTCTGCCTCTCTTCTCTGTGGCTGATATTTCAGCCGTAACAGCCCCTGTATGTCCTTTCCTCTCGCTGTGTGCCGGACGAGTCCGTGCTGAAGTGCTTTGTGAAACCCTTCAACCATTTTTAGAGGACATTTTTTGGTTTCTTTTTTATACCAGAAAATGGGGATTCAGAGAGCGAAAGGAACTTGTCCAAGATTACACAGCTTGTAAGTTATTCGGGTGGCCCTGACTTCACGGCCACTCTGCTATGAGTCATCGTATCCATCCAGCTAAGCACCCTAGTTGCTGACATGGAAATCTTAGAGAAAACTGTGGGTCTTTGACGTCTTTCTGGCAGCCTTCATTGATCCACTGTGGACAGCTTTGTCTCAGGTTTATATGGGTGAA